ACCTTTCGAATGTCCATTTATCCTTTGTTACTTTTCCTTTTCACTGTTTTGTATCTGCTCTTCTTATAGCAGATTTATCTCCTTTGGTAATCTCAGTTCAGTAGTGGAAGATTATAATTTCGTTGAGTTCTGTTTCCAGTCCATTAATTACTCGAAAGTGTGCTTGGTGAAGTGAAATTATCCCAGGGTTCTATCATGTATCCACTCTTTTCACTTGTAAGTTCTCTCTCATACTTCTATGGACAACTACTAACATATTTTCAATCCAATCCTTGATGTATTCCATCGATTATTCATAGGCTTGAAGTTGACTTCAAAAAGAGAAGTTGTTCTTAGCTAAATGCAATTTTGCTAACATAGTGGCAAGGAGAAATACAATACTGACTAAAAAGATGAAAACAAGAGGCACGCCATAAGCAAACATGACGATAGTCGATAGGTGTGTAGCAGTTGTCATTTTCAACAACCAAAGCACAAAAACATGTTCTAAAAAAGGTTTTGCTTAGAACAGATAAAATTCATAACAAGTAAAACATCTGCATGGAGAAAAAAAGAGTATATAGAGGAGAAGCAGCAATCCATAAGAAAAAGTAAAAAGAAGAAATAAGGAAAATTATGATTAAAGAATTAATAGAAATGGTTATTTGCACAAACTTGTTAATCAAATAACAAGAGCCTTTCGACGCATTGTTTTAGTTAATCAAATGGGCAACTAGCAAGTAAAGGAGAATCAACAAATAGTTTGTATGCATCAAAATCATAATTCGATAACTTTTGTTATCTCAACTTTGCTCAGTAACAAAGTACCCCTATGCCTAATTGTTGTAGCTGGCAGGCTTAGAAATAAGAGGAATAGATTCATGATTGAGCTACTTTACTCTAATAATTGACACAAATTATGGAAAATAAAATATGTATTTCTCCAAGGTAATTACTTGCCTGGCTCATGTGAGGTCGACGAATGGGATTCTGTTCAACACAAATGGTGGCTGTGAAGAGTACACAAGCCATCTCTTGTTGATCATAATTATCTCCAAGAGTAGGATCCACTAGCTCCTTAACTTCATTTTTATCAAGGAACGGCTTTGCCTACAATTTGATACATACATAAGGGTAGCTGAATGGTGTTGACTTGAGGCCTTGTCAAATGTAATGAACGAATTATCTTTGTTTGGGCTCCATTTTAATGAGGTTTTATGGAAAAATGTATTTTGAAATAGTGATTTTTTTGGAGAATATGTGATTAAAAAGGAAGGAAAAGTTTTGGGTTCACGTGTAATACTATTTTATTGAAGAATGTGTGGTTAAAAAGAAGAAAGAGAAAAATGCATTAAAATTAAAATGGAGCCCGAATAGATGCGAAATATAGATACCCAAAGCACAAGGCTTCTCCGCGAATCATCCAGCGCCTGGCGTCCAGTAATTAGCTCCAAAAGTAGAACACCAAAAGAGAACACGTCTGTTTTCTCATCCACAATCCCATGCATGAAGTACTCCGGAGCAAAATAGCTGTCAAAGCAGGGTAAAATGAACAACTGCTCATTTAGTTAGCTGAATATATTGTGTAAAAAAAGGCCCCAGAAGATTTCAAATTAGATTGAAGGGATTACAGACCCAAATGTGCCTTCAAACTTTGAGATATGGTGATGGGACCACTGTTTGGGCAGCCATTTTGCAAGGCCAAAATCACAAATCTGGATTGAAGGAATACTTACCAAAATAAGATTACACAAGTAACAAAATTCTAGGCCATTGTACAGAAAGCTTTTACATAAACTAATCTTTCTTAAGCCATTTCTTCATACTAAGCACAATTTATTTAGCCTTCTACATGAACGAGGCCTTGTTCATTGATGTATACAAGTAGATGTATAGATGCTGGTCTTATTTTTAGCCTTTATTCGAAAATTTAGCAGAAAAATTACATCTTAGTCATAAACCACATAATGAAACTTATCTAAGATAAATTTACCTGAGGCTCAAAATCTTCTGTAAGTAAGATATTATCAGCTTTGATATCCCTGTGAATGATTCGCCTTTGGCAATGCTCGTGAAGATATATCAGGCCATCAGCTGTCCCAAGAATAATCTTATACCTTGCCCTCCAATCTAGCTTTTCCTTAGAACCTAAAAGAAGTAGAAAAATTGGTTGGAAGTCATATCCTTAAGAAGAATCAGTTTCCAAGATAAAATGAATTAGAAGTGGAATTTCTGGCTGAACATACCACGAAGAAGTGATCCTAAACTCCCCAATGACGATAACTTAAGAACAAGATATGTTCCTCCTTCAACTCCATAGCCAATCAACTTAGCTGTATTAGGATGATTTACATGTGCAATTATGCCAATCTCAGACAAAAAGTTTATTGTCTGTTCATCTGATGTTCCTTTATTGAGCTGCTTAATGGCCACAAGCTGTCCGTCTGGTAAACAGCCCTTATAAACTTCAGCATAACCACCCTTTCCGATCAGATTTTCTAGTCCAAAAACATGAAGAGATCACCTAAATAATTGTCTACAGTCATTCTTATAACTTATAAGCAATAATACATTAGATGCAGAGAATCATGACTTTCGAGAACGAATGGTGCAGGGGATGCAGGCGCTTGCATAAGCAATCTGAATTCAATTGCATACCTCGGCTAAAATTGTTGGTTGCAGTCTGCAGGTCGTTCAGTGTAAAGTTCTTCCAGGCAGAATTGACAGGGCATGCATCATTCTCTACATTTTCTCTTGTACTTCTACTCTTTCTTCTTGATAATATTGGCACGAGTGGAGGGAAAGAGGGCAATCGCTTTGTGGAACCTCTTTTCCACGCTTTAAAGAATCTATGCCAGCGAGAATGCCCTTGTGAAATTGACTGGAAGGGTTTACAACCTGACATTTTACCTGGTTCATTTTCCAGGTCTGCTTCATTTTCTAAGCCTCTTGTGCATGCCTCGAGGACTCCTCTGGGAGACGAATGATCTAGTCTTTCCTTCTCCACCTCAAAACATCTCAGGTCTACAGCAAAAAAGCATTCAAAATGGTGAACATTTAAGTCATTAACTTGAACACGATAAGTCGAGACACATATTTATGCTGTCACATTACCCTGAGCAGATGCAGAGGAAGGTAATGAACAAGTGAACTTTTTGTATGTTGCTAAAACAGCGTTGCTATTTAAGGTTTTCACTGTTACAGTATTGGCATCATTACAAGTTTTCCTGCACCGTAATCTTCAGTTTCAGTAAAAAATAGAAGCTCGAGATAGAACTATAAAACCAATATAAAACACATTTAAAGTTGTGTATTAGCCTGTTTCTACTTAGCATTCAAAAATTCTGAGAACTTTCAGAAAGATTTCAAATGAAGTGATTTACAGCTAGAAACCTCACCAATAAAACCAATCTACACAAATAATGTAAGGGAAGGGGCTAACACAATCTAGAATTTGCAACATTGATAAACGTTTTTTGATTCCAACAAAGGTGAACAAAAATTTTAGCATTTAGATGTGAGATACGGACACTGGTTAATTTACACAAAAGAAAGAAGAATCAGAGAAGTAATGAGTTATAAATGCAATAACGTGAAAATCATAAGATCCGTTAGATGATATTAATTTAAGTAAAAATTATTTGGATGTTCTCCTGTTCCAAGTTAAATAGATGAAGTCAACTATGCATTGATTTGAAAGCTTAAGAATAAAAATTCACTTGGTAATAATGCATGTGAAGCTACATGTGACGATTAGACGCAATGTTGGGTAATGGATTCCAGAGATAGATCCTATAATGGAAAGCATCAACAAAAGCAGCTAACCTCTTTGATTATATCAAAAAAACCCAAAAGCCACGGCTGAATTAAAAGTTATGGTAGACAAAAGTTTTATGCCTAAGGAGGTCGCCTCGCGGGCCTCACCACAAGCCCAGCCCTAGATCTTACTAATGTATTGATAGGCTTCCTCTAAAATTTACGAATTCTAGGAGGACCCAGAAGAGGAGGGAATAGCTGGCTGGGAAGTAACAGAATCTATTAGTGAGGGAATGATGGGACTTAGTTAGTTAGAGGAGATCTATAAATAGTAGAGGAAACTGGAAAAGGAGGCAGAATTTGGTAGTCACTTGGGAGAGTAGTGGACCTTTCGAATGTCCATTTATCCTTTGTTACTTTTCCTTTTCACTGTTTTGTATCTGCTCTTCTTATAGCAGATTTATCTCCTTTGGTAATCTCAGTTCAGTAGTGGAAGATTATAATTTCGTTGAGTTCTGTTTCCAGTCCATTAATTACTCGAAAGTGTGCTTGGTGAAGTGAAATTATCCCAGGGTTCTATCATGTATCCACTCTTTTCACTTGTAAGTTCTCTGTCATACTTCTATGGACAACTACTTACATATTTTCAATCCAATCCTTGATGTGTTCCATCGATTATTCATAGGCTTGAAGTTGACTTCAAAAAGAGAAGTTGTTCTTAGCTAAATGCAATTTTGCTAACATAGTGGCAAGGAGAAATACAATACTGACTAAAAAGATGAAAACAAGAGGCACGCCATAAGCAAACATGACGATAGTCGATAGGTGTGTAGCAGTTGTCATTTTCAACAACCAAAGCACAAAAACATGTTCTAAAAAAGGTTTTGCTTAGAACAGATAAAATTCATAACAAGTAAAACATCTGCATGGAGAAAAAAAGAGTATATAGAGGAGAAGCAGCAATCCATAAGAAAAAGTAAAAAGAAGAAATAAGGAAAATTATGATTAAAGAATTAATAGAAATGGTTATTTGCACAAACTTGTTAATCAAATAACAAGAGCCTTTCGACGCATTGTTTTAGTTAATCAAATGGGCAACTAGCAAGTAAAGGAGAATCAACAAATAGTTTGTATGCATCAAAATCATAATTCGATAACTTTTGTTATCTCAACTTTGCTCAGTAACAAAGTACCCCTATGCCTAATTGTTGTAGCTGGCAGGCTTAGAAATAAGAGGAATAGATTCATGATTGAGCTACTTTACTCTAATAATTGACACAAATTATGGAAAATAAAATATGTATTTCTCCAAGGTAATTACTTGCCTGGCTCATGTGAGGTCGACGAATGGGATTCTGTTCAACACAAATGGTGGCTGTGAAGAGTACACAAGCCATCTCTTGTTGATCATAATTATCTCCAAGAGTAGGATCCACTAGCTCCTTAACTTCATTTTTATCAAGGAACGGCTTTGCCTACAATTTGATACATACATAAGGGTAGCTGAATGGTGTTGACTTGAGGCCTTGTCAAATGTAATGAACGAATTATCTTTGTTTGGGCTCCATTTTAATGAGGTTTTATGGAAAAATGTATTTTGAAATAGTGATTTTTTTGGAGAATATGTGATTAAAAAGGAAGGAAAAGTTTTGGGTTCACGTGTAATACTATTTTATTGAAGAATGTGTGGTTAAAAAGAAGAAAGAGAAAAATGCATTAAAATTAAAATGGAGCCCGAATAGATGCGAAATATAGATACCCAAAGCACAAGGCTTCTCCGCGAATCATCCAGCGCCTGGCGTCCAGTAATTAGCTCCAAAAGTAGAACACCAAAAGAGAACACGTCTGTTTTCTCATCCACAATCCCATGCATGAAGTACTCCGGAGCAAAATAGCTGTCAAAGCAGGGTAAAATGAACAACTGCTCATTTAGTTAGCTGAATATATTGTGTAAAAAAAGGCCCCAGAAGATTTCAAATTAGATTGAAGGGATTACAGACCCAAATGTGCCTTCAAACTTTGAGATATGGTGATGGGACCACTGTTTGGGGAGCCATTTTGCAAGGCCAAAATCACAAATCTGGATTGAAGGAATACTTACCAAAATAAGATTACACAAGTAACAAAATTCTAGGCCATTGTACAGAAAGCTTTTACATAAACTAATCTTTCATAAGCCATTTCTTCATACTAAGCACAATTTATTTAGCCTTCTACATGAACGAGGCCTTGTTCATTGATGTATACAAGTAGATGTATAGATGCTGGTCTTATTTTTAGCCTTTATTCGAAAATTTAGCAGAAAAATTACATCTTAGTCATAAACCACATAATGAAACTTATCTAAGATAAATTTACCTGAGGCTCAAAATCTTCTGTAAGTAAGATATTATCAGCTTTGATATCCCTGTGAATGATTCGCCTTTGGCAATGCTCGTGAAGATATATCAGGCCATCAGCTGTCCCAAGAATAATCTTATACCTTGCCCTCCAATCTAGCTTTTCCTTAGAACCTAAAAGAAGTAGAAAAATTGGTTGGAAGTCATATCCTTAAGAAGAATCAGTTCCCAAGATAAAATGAATTAGAAGTGGAATTTCTGGCTGAACATACCACGAAGAAGTGATCCTAAACTCCCCAATGACGATAACTTAAGAACAAGATATGTTCCTCCTTCAACTCCATAGCCAATCAACTTAGCTGTATTAGGATGATTTACATGTGCAATTATGCCAATCTCAGACAAAAAGTTTATCGTCTGTTCATCTGATGTTCCTTTATTGAGCTGCTTAATGGCCACAAGCTGTCCGTCTGGTAAACAGCCCTTATAAACTTCAGCATAACCACCCTTTCCGATCAGATTTTCTAGTCCAAAAACATGAAGAGATCACCTAAATAATTGTCTACAGTCATTCTTATAACTTATAAGCAATAATACATTAGATGCAGAGAATCATGACTTTTGAGAACGAATGGTGCAGGGGATGCAGGCGCTTGCATAAGCAATCTGAATTCAATTGCATACCTAGGCTAAAATTGTTGGTTGCAGTCTGCAGGTCGTTCAGTGTAAAGTTCTTCCAGGCAGAATTGACAGGGCATGCATCATTCTCTACATTTTCTCTTGTACTTCTACTCTTTCTTCTTGACAATATTGGCACGAAACTATAAAACCAATATAAAACACATTTAAAGTTGTGTATTAGCCTGTTTCTACTTAGCATTCAAAAATTCTGAGAACTTTCAGAAAGATTTCAAATGAAGTGATTTACAGCTAGAAACCTCACCAATAAAACCAATCTACACAAATAATGTAAGGGAAGGGGCTAACACAATCTAGAATTTGCAACATTGATAAACGTTTTTTGATTCCAACAAAGGTGAACAAAAATTTTAGCATTTAGATGTGAGATACGGACACTGGTTAATTTACACAAAAGAAAGAAGAATCAGAGAAGTAATGAGTTATAAATGCAATAACGTGAAAATCATAAGATCCGTTAGATGATATTAATTTAAGTAAAAATTATTTGGATGTTCTCCTGTTCCAAGTTAAATAGATGAAGTCAACTATGCATTGATTTGAAAGCTTAAGAATAAAAATTCACTTGGTAATAATGCATGTGAAGCTACATGTGACGATTAGACGCAATGTTGGGTAATGGATTCCAGAGATAGATCCTATAATGGAAAGCATCAACAAAAGCAGCTAACCTCTTTGATTATATCAAAAAAACCCAAAAGCCACGGCTGAATTAAAAGTTATGGTAGACCTTGAAAAGAGTTGTAGGAAGATCTACCATTACTTGCTAAATTCTGCAAGAGTATTCTCAGTAATTCCAAGGAATATATAAGTCAATGAAAAGCCAGAGAACCAGAATAAGTCAAGGAATGCAAAGTTCAACAATGCACTTGATCAATGCAATGTTTATGGTTTCTCGATAAGCAAAACATTTAGAAGAAAATCAGCGATATAACCTCGAAACATCCTTTTTTTCCTTGACCGGATCTTTACATTAAGTCACGTAAATTCTCCAAGAAGGAGATTTATCCATCAAATTACCGAGAACAAACTTCTCAGAGACACTCCTTAAAGAAATCACCCTGGCCTTATACATAACAAATTTCACAAGCAGGTCCATTTGGGTGAATGACCGCACGACCAAAACGCACAGCCAAAGTCGGTCGCGTTGAAGTATGCTGTCACTTACTGTACTCTCGAAGCCGAAACTGAAACCATAATCATTAGCTTCCAACACTTACACACATCCAGTGTCCATCCGGCTTCCACCCCAAAGGATTTTGTTCCTTGTCATTCCAATTTTATCTTTCTAAACTTTGAACATCAAACTACTCAAATGATTTTAAAATATAAAATATTTAGAACCTCGACATGAATCTCAAGAAAGGGATAAACGACAACATACAAAATCACTTATTTTACAAGGACGAATAATGAATTTGAATCAAATGCAATAGCTTCCAAACTTACAGAGGACGAGAAGGATGATGGTGTTGTAGAACCGGAGCAGCCATGTAAAATAACTAAAGAGAATCCCAGCAAATATGTATGTATATTTATTATATGCTCTTCTCACCCAAGAAATGTGCTAAACGGTAATACCCTGCCCCCATTGCTTCATATAAATCCCTTTTTCTGTGTAATAATAATAAATTAAATATAGATAGAACAACTTGCGATACGGGTAAAATAATTTATAGATTTGATGTTCTCCAAGGCAAATGCAATTACACACAGACAAAGGGAAGAAGGAAAAAAAAGTCTCAACCTCTACAAGTTTCCGTTGAAATCGCTACTTGGAGGGAATATACAGAAAAATAAAGAAAACATCCTACTTGTACTCTGGGCCAGTCAGCTATCACCTTTTATTTGTGAGAATGGTGGCAAAATGCCTTTTGATCCGGTTTTACCACTATAATATGTATTTTTCTTATTTATTTAAATAACCATAAATGAAATTAAATAAATAGGTTTTTAACATATATTTTACTAATAAAATTTTATTGTCCCATCATAAATATAAATCTACTTTTTTCTTTCTTTCCATTCGATAGCCGTCCGCAGCTTTTCTGACAACAACTTTTTTGTTTCTCCGTGACGGCAGATAATTACATGAGCACCAAACCCTAATTTCATCAAAATCTTAGTTGAGAACATCCCCGTTAGTGTTTGAAACCCTAATTTTCTACGTCCTATTGTGCATGGCGACGGAGCCACCCCCTAAGCCGCGTTCTAACGTGGTTGGGGATTCTGTTACCTATGCCTCCATCGTCCAATGTCGGCTCCAAACCATCCCGGAGGTAGAGTAGAGATGAGAAGCCCCGAAGAGAAAGATGAAGAAACCTGGTTCCATTTTTCCAAAACGGAACTGGAGAGAGCAGCCTCCCCTTTCCGATTCTCTGTGGTTTTAAGATTTCTGAAACGTCGATCATCTTTGGATCAAATCAGGGATTTTATTAAAACTCGCTGGGGCCTAAAGGGATCATTTGCTGTGAGTGCCATGCAACGCCCAAGAAATGTCTTTATACATCTTATTTCGATGGAAGATTTTGGAATTGTTTGTGCCCGGGAATCTCTGGAAATCGAGGGCACACCCTACCGTCTGTCTATCTGGTCTCAAGATTTTGATCAGGATCAAGAGTCGACCTTGGTTATAGTTTGGCTGTTTTTTCCTGGGTTGCCGCCTCACTATTATCACGAATCAATTCTTCGTATTATTAGAGGAACCTTTGGCAGATTCCTAAAGAGGGATAATTTTATAGCCTGTGCATCTCGCAGGATGGTGCTCGGATTTGTGTAGAGATGGATATCTCTAAACACCCATTGGAATCATTTTGGCTAGGCCCTCCATTTCATGAATCTAGCAGATGTTAGAGGGTCATTTATGAGAAGCTCCCCGCCTACTGTGGTCATTGTAAAGTGCAAGGACACTCGGCAATTAACTGCAGAAAATTGAAAGCTAAAGAGGACGATAAAAATCAGGATTTAAAGAAACAAATGCCCAGAGGTAAATTGTGGAGGAAAAAGGAAGCTGTTCGGGATACTTTAAGGGAACAAAATAGAGATGAGGTAAATGCACCATGAAACATAGGGGAAAAATTGAATCTATTGAAGAGGAATAGACTGATCCCTTCGACATCTATCTTATATGCAAATTCTGCAGGCATTGTGAATCAAAGTTTGGCTGAAAATTGTGACATTAGAAAGGATAAACAGGTTGTTGAGGATGAAGACATGGACCATTCTCAGGCTGCGGCTGAGACTGGTGCTCTGTTACTGAACAAGGAGGTGGGAAATATGGCTAATGGGGCACAAAAAGGGAGATTTGTGGTAGAAGATAAAGGCAGGGCAGATGACACACAATCTGATAGACGTGCTGAAGAAGTAAATATAAATGTGAAAGTTACAATACCGGGTGTGTTAGGGGATGAACTAGGGGTGTCAAATGAATTACTGCTGGATCAGGCAATTGCGAAGGGTGATGTAAGGGCAATACAAGATGCTCTTGTGATGGATGTGTTGGACAACATAGCTGACAGAGTGATTCGAGAAGATAATATGGAGCTGTATGATCAAAATAATGCTCAAGGGGCTACTAATGACACTGGACCAGAGATGATGGTTAGGATAGGAGAGGAACTGACAGTTACAACCTTATCTCGTTTTGAAAACAGCACTCACCCTCAACAGATATATGAGGAGGAATCAGGATATAAAACGAACACTTGAGGGGGCTGAGCAACAGCCGGACCTGACTATGTCTGATGTTGATCTAGATAATGAATTAGAAGAGCTTGCTATTGTTACATATGAGACAGAACCAGAAACATTAGCTTCAACGAAACAGAGGCGGGGAGGTAATAGGAAGAAGGTGGTTTTGGGAATAACCACAAGATCGAAATTTTTTTATTAATATGATGAATGTCATTATGTGGAATGCTAGAGGGGTTGTATCATCAAATAGTCGTTTAATGCAGTTAAATAAACAATATAAACCTTCCATCTGGGGAATTCTGGAACCTTTTGTATCTTTGGAAAAAATTGGTCGTTGGGCAAGGAAATTAAGGTTTGAAAACTTTTGTACTAATATGGATTATGGCGGTAAAATATGGCTTTTTAGGTCTTCCGATATAGAATTTAATCAGATTCAGGTGTCATCTCAAATTCTTTTTGGATGGTTTTCTAGAGATGGAGTTCGTGTTCTTGGCTCCTTTGTATATGCTAATGTTCTCCAAGTTCATAGGAGAGAGCTTTGGGACCAGCTACGTGATCTAGATTGTAGTGGGGATGCTTTGTTCGTTGGAGGTGATTTTAATATTGTGCGGTCTGGCGAGGAACGGGTGGGGGGTTTGTTGCCCTCTACAAGTGGAAAGTTGGAATTTAATAAGGCTATTCATGATGTGGGTTTGATGGATATTCCCTTTGATGGTCCTAAGTTGTCGTGGTGTAATGGTATACAGGGACTTCATCGTATATGGGCGAGACTGGACAGGATTCTAGTTAACCAATTGTTCAAGAATCAGTTCCAAGAGGTTTCCTTATCTTATTTGGATAGAACCTCATCTGATCATTGTCTCATAGTTCTGCGTTGCATGGGAGGAGAAGAGTTACATGGGCCTAAACCTTTTCGCTTCCTTAGGATGTGGTGCACGCATGAAGGCTTTTTGCCATTGGTCAAACAGGTGTGGAAAATGAAAGTTGATGGCTCTCCTATGGTCAAGATTTCTAGGAAGTTGCGGGAATTAAAAATTTACTTACGTCAATGGAATGCGGAGGTGTTTGGAAAAGTTCAATAGGAATTGGGTTATATGGAGGATAAGTTGACCCATCTTGAACATGCTCTTATTGAACACCATTCACAAGAGACCGAAAGGGAACTATTTCAATGTAGACAGAAAATTCAGCATGGCTTCAACGGGAGGAGATTTTTTGGAAACAAAAATCTCGTTTTAAATTGGCTGATGGAGGGAGATTCTAACACTAAGTTTTTCCACGCTAGTGTTAGAAATAAAATAAAAAGTTTGAGGATTAACCATATGGTGTTGGAGGATGGGTTGGCACTACAATTTGCAGATGAAGTGCATGAAGGAGCAATTCAATTTTTTCAATCATTGCTATCCGTCTCCCCTATGAATGTGGTAGATTCAGAAATGGAACTTTTTACAGCCAGTCATTACAGCAGCAGATAATATCTCTTTGTGCAAAATGCCAGGGTGGAAGAGGTTAAATAGGCTTTATGGTCCATTCCTAGTGATAGTAGCCCGGGACCTGATGGGTTTAGTGCTAGTTTTTTTGTTCATGCTTGGGACATCGTCAAAGAGGATCTATTGGAAGTGGCGAAAGATTTTTTTTTGGGGGTAGGCCATTGACTACGGCTCTGGGTGCTACTAACATTGTCCTCATTCCTAAGGTGGAAGCCCCTAGCAGTTTCGCTCAGTTTAGGCCCATCAGTTTGTGCTCTGTGATTTATAAGTTGTTGTCAAAGATTATGGTCGCTAGATTAGCACCCCTACTTGAGGGGATCATTGCACGTGAACAAGTGGCTTTTGTTCGTGGGAGAAGCAGCTTTGATAATATCTCTATAGCACAAGAGATGGCGCATGATTTACACAAAAAGGTGAGAGGTCGTAATATATTGATGAAACTTGATATGGCAAAAGCGTATGACAGGGTCAATTGGAGTTTCTTATTGCTTGCTTTAAAGAAACTGGGTTTTTCGGAGGAATGGAGGAACCTCATCTTCAACTGTGTTTCGTTGCCATTTTTTTCCATCATGCTTAATGGAACGACTAAGGGTTTTTTCAAACCATCTCCTGGGTTGAGACAAGGTGACCCATTATCACCTTATCTCTTTATTTTGACACAGAAAATGCTCTCAAGGTTGATTAATCGAGATGTTGGTAATGGATTAGTGATACCTTTTCATACAAAAGGCACGGTGGTTCACCATTTAGTATATGCTGATGATTTTTTGCTATTCTTCAATGGTGGTAAAAAATCGATAAGTAAAGTAATGGGGACTATAAGGCTATACGAGTCTTTATCAGGGCAGTTAGTGAGTAAGGAGAAATCAATTTTGAATTTTTTGAAGCATATTATAAACTCTAGAAGAATGAGTTTATTGGATCTTACGGGGTTCCGAGAAGGTGGTTTGCCATGTACATATCTGGGGGTTCCACTTTATACAGGACGACTGACTGTTCATTTGTTTGATTCGT